GTTTTATTTCTGTAGTGGTATCTTTAAAAGACTGACCATAAAACAGTTTGATTTAAAAAGCTCTCAAGCAATCACAGTAGCAAGGTGTTTGAATTTAGGAACAAGTAAAGGTTTATTCCATGCTGAAAAGAGAAGAAAGGTAACACAACATTTACAGTAGGTTGTGGAGCCTTCTTCTGATGTCAGGGTTTGAATTGTGTTTGTATTTATGCCATTTGATAACATTTGGATTAAAGCCTTAAATAAAGTATGCATGCTCTTTCAACTCATGTGTACTATATACTCCATTATAATATGCCTGTATGTAATAATTCTGAATTAAAATCTGTTCCTTATCTAGAGCTCACTGAGAGTCCCAGTTCACTTCAAGAACGAAAAACAAATCTAGACTCTATTCAGTATATTTCTACGAGCTCCTGCATGATAACCCACAAGCCTATTTGGTGCATTTTCTAAGGGGAAGTAACAATTAGTCACTAATAAACATTTAACTGAGGTTTTTACAGATGTGATCTTTTACACTTCTGATCCTATTGGGATATACATCACCTACCAATAGAATTTACTTGCGGGTGCATCTGCTGCTGCACACATAGTCCTCTTGTTCTCTTTGTGTAGATGGGAAAGAGCTTTTATATTGTGTTCGTGTGTCTCCATTTCTCTGTACATGCATTTGCATTTGTGTGACCGTGCAGATAAGTGTTTCCATGCTTGAGCTTCTGTGCATATGTGTGACTGCGCACACAGGATCCGGCGGGGTTTTTTTTTTTAGATTTTCATAATTTACTCCCTTCACTGGAGTCTGGGTCATTATAAAATAGACTGAGGAAGAATGAATGAATTAGTTAGGGATCACTGCCTGTTTTTCATTAAAAACAAATTAGTGCTGTTTAGAAAGGACAGCTGTGCTTCCAAGTGCAGTTAATGACTATATTCGAAGCTGCGCTGTGCTGCCTGTTTTTTTCTATTCATTGCCCCCCAAATACTGCCCCCCTACCCAGCACCCCCCACCCCTTTTACTCCCAAAGACCCCCCTCACCCCTGACCCTCATGGGAGAACTGTCAAACTGGCAGACAAGGAGAAGGAGGAAGTGCCAGAGACAAGCCAAGCCCCCTGGGATCCTAGCAGAAATAAAGGGAGGGTAAGAGGGCTATTGTCAGAACAGTCCTAATACAGAAACGGCAACAGTTATTTAAATGAATGAGCAGTGGTTAAACATAACCTGATTTGAATTCAATTACCACGCAGGCACTTCCTGCACAGACCTTGGTCCCCCTGCGACACTGACAGCATTCACACTTAGCTGACAAGCTGGGCCACTCTTAACGTACTTTCGATAAATATGAGCTCTTGAACCAGGAGAATGTCAACCTTTCTTCCCTCGTTCAATCGTTCTCCACCATTTCCTCTCAATGCAGGTTGGAGCCATCTTAAATACCTGGCTTCGGATTTCGAACGCTGTTCTCACTTAATCACGGTTAAATTAATTTCCAAAACGCCCCCAGTCTTTGCGCCTTGACAGTAGTTTTGGCTTTCCATGTTTCAGACCAAAACAAGAAAAACGGTAGCTGAGTAAGGGAAGAAAAGACATCCAGGGTAAGGCATACAGGGTACCTACAGTATGTCAGGTGCAAATCTGTCCGGATAATATACTTTGTTACTTATTTATTGTTGGTCTATTCTAGGTACCTAGTGTTGAAAATAAAATTTCAGCAAGAGTTTAGAAATTTTCCTTTGGCTACTGTCAAAAATCTGTTCGGAGCTCAGCATTTGATGTTCCCATTTTCAGTTTCAGTTGTAGTTTTCATGTTGTTTTTTGCCAGGTGTTCTCCCACAGTACAACAACATACTGGCAGCTTAATTGGCTTCAGGGAAAAATGCGGCCTGGTGTGTGTGTCTGTGTCTGTACAGTATGTGCCCGGTGATGGACATCCTGTCCAGGGTTTATCCTGCCTTGTGCCTGTTGGGATGGGCTGTGTCTTCCCCACTCCCCCTGAACTGAATGAAGTGGTTAGAAAATGGATGGATGGATGAATATACTGTATGTAGGATCTGGTCCTAAATGATAAAAATAAAACTTTACAGTATATATCAGCCTTTTATACTTTACAAGTGTCTAAACAGCACTACAATTATATTGACCAATACGTTTTAAACCATCACACTCACAAATATTGAAAAGCTGAAAATATTTTAGAAAACCATAATATGTCACTATGAAATCAGAAGGCTAAATTCTAAATTCTATGGGTAAAAAATTTAAATAATGGCTGCAAATTCCTAACTAATCTTAAAGGAAAAGCAAAGAGAAATAACACCTAAGAATCTCAGGTACTGCGTCTGATTTTTGAAGATATTCTAGTAACAAAAGACATTGAATACATTATGTCACCTCGCATTTTCATCCTGAAAGATTCAAAAGTGCTTTTCATATAAGAGGGAATCAACTTATCCATTATTGCAGCACCCACCCAGGTGACCAGGATTAACACCCCAACTCTTCCAAATAGTGTCCTTGGATCTTAAATGTCATAAAATAATAGTCAGGACAAACTTTGGTCCAGAGGTAAGAGCACCACCAACCCCACTTACAACAGCAACCTGGCTTCCATTTAGGGGTCTCCCATTCCAGTACTGACTGGGCCTGGCCTTGCTTAATTTCTGTGATCAGGCTACAAAGTAACGATGCTGCTTCCCACCAGTCACTGACAGTCCCAAACTCAGAATGAATCCCTTCTTTATCCGGGATTTCAAGTATTCGAAATCCTCGCAGGGTTTGACAAAAAGCAACCCAGCAGACGGCTTCAGAATGAACAATGAAACACGCATCAGAGAACACAAGCTGAAAACACTGCATGCACAAGTGAATTTACAAATGAGAGGGGGCCATTTGGCCCAGACAGCCCTTTTAGTAGTCAGTATTTTAATTGATCTGGGGATCTCACCCAACCATTTCTTGAAACTAGCATATCAGCTTATCTAACATGGCTGAGTAGCTTGTTCCTAACCATTTGTGTCAGGGGTGAGAATCCCTTTATCCTGTCCCCCTGGATAGGCTATCGCCCCTCAGAACTGTCCGTCATGTTTATGGCTTTACCCCAGGTTGGAACCAGCATCTCTCGGGGACCTGGGAGCAGCCCACTGGCTTTGCCCAGACAGCAATGGACAGCCATACGATGGGGTTGTTCTCTCATCTAAACAAGATGCTGCTGTATCCCCGTTGCAGGGGGATGTACACAGCAGGGGATACATTCCACATATTATACACATTCAGAGGTGATACTGGACTGTGATTTTACATAGCTGCCATAGCTACACCAGTCTAATTTAATGGGTTGCTTTTCCCTTCTCAGTAGCTCAAGTGCAAATCAAGGAACCCTCACAGACAGAGTTCAGATTCCCTGCAGGTATGCCAAGAGGCTGTCTCCTTGCAATAGGGGGATTTCAAACTCTTGAGCGTTGTAGCAAGTGATGTGTCACGATATTAGTTCCCCCTCCTTAAGGGTGCTCCAGCCCTTTCACTCTAGACTTTATTCTTTGCACCTGTTTCCCATTCCCAGCCCACCTTAAAAGCCAGGCGCTGACGCTCATCCGGGCTCTGCATCTGGTTTCCGTACCGTGCGAGTCCGGGACCTGGAAGCGCCTGGACCCGTTAAGGTTTTAATCTCTGTTCCTGTTCCCTGTCCGCCGGTTCCAACCCGGCCTTCGTGTTTTAATTCCGAGCTTTTTATGGATCTTCTGGTTTTGGACTTTCTCGTGTGTTTTTGGATATTCCCTAGGACTACTCTCTTGGATTGTTCGCCTCGGCCACACCTCCCCCGTGCACCAGCGCACCTTGGACACGCCCCCCTGTCTTCTGCCCCGTATTCCTGCATGACATTTCCCCAGTGTTTCCCCACTCCATCCGACTGTGTCGTCCGCATAGGGTCCGGAAAGAACTGTTCGTTACAGATGTCCCCGTTAACGCCACATCCTACACTTCTCATTGTACCCCAAGGACTGCAGTGCTCTCCCTCTCTTTGACTCCTCCTCCACATTCTCCAGGAGATGGTGGGGTGGGTCAGGACCCCTGTAGAAACCACCATCAGCGAGGCACCTCAGGGTGCACAGCCCTCCAGACAAACCCAATATGCCAAAGTAACACCCGTTTCCACTCTCTTCAGAGTCCTTTGAGAGTGACATCGTCAGAAGAGTCTCATCACACATAGTGAGCCCTGTTACTGTAAGCTATTAACTGCAATAGAATTAAGTAGCTGCAAAATAGTAAATGTACTCCTCTGGTGTACAAAGGTTTTTTTTTAAATCACAGTAACGTGGTAAATCCGTTTGGATTTAACACAGGGCCCAGCAGCCTCCAGAGAAATTCTCTGAAATTGAGACTGGGCTTTTTCGAAAGGGACTCACAGCCTAACAGCACGGGTTGGAAACGATTCTGGGGAACAGCCACAACTACTTCAAATCAGAAAGCGACAAAAAGAGTTTGGTTTCCCTTTCCACCGGGCTGTTGATTTTCTTCATTGGTTTACTAGTGCGTTTTAACGCATTGCACCACACTTAAATTGTCATGATTATCCACATCTCCAAGGAGGAGAATTCTCATTGAAACACTGAGCATCCTTTGGAGATTTTCATCAAAAAATGAAAGTATTAATGGAAAAGAAGACTGATAAATAATTTGGATAATCAAAGCAACCTGAGTGCTGTCTGCTTTGGTTTTTTTGTGGCTCTCTGGTTTGCTCCAGAACCTTTATGATCTGTCTTTGTTTTTTTGACTGACTTGAGTGTCTTCTGTATGTTTTATCTGGTAGTACCCATCTCCCCACACACTTGCACTTTTAATCTCAGAACCACCCCCTGAAATGTCGGCATTCCCACTCCTGTCTCACCCCGCCCCTTGCTTGTCTTTTCGCCGCTGTTTCACTTTTAAAGCGGCGGGCTGTCTGAAGGCGGAAAGCGGGCTCACTCGGGAGACAGGCTGAAGCAGAGGGGTCAGACTCACCAGGCACCATTCCTGTCAGCGCTGGAGTTGAGTAGCTGCCCTGTCCTGCGGGAGGCACGTGGGGAGGATACCCAGGGAGGGTTGTACTTGCCAAGTCCCGACCTGAGAAAACAAACCGACAAATCACCGCCTTGAGCGCTCATCAACCGCCACGTGCGTTTCTGCAGCTCCCATCATGCACCGCAAGCACAGGCAAAGGTCCGTAAGAGTCTGTGCTGCTGGATGTCTCACACTGTGACAAACACATTTCTAAATCTCTGTGGAGAAACTGTGCAACGGTATATATCTACAATGCTTTCTGTCTCAACAGACATTCCGGATGACCACATAAATGATGCCTGTATCACAAGCCTTTGTGTTTGTATTCATATTTCAAGGTAGAACAATAGTGCATGGCAAAGTTAGAAAACTACAGTTAAAAAATACTGGTCAAATATAGGTTATGGACATTTATATTTACGTACATACAGCATGTTTTCAAAAGCTCGTGTCTATATTGCCTTTTGAAGATGGAAATATGAAAAATACGTACAGTTCTTAATCCAGCCAAAGCAAAGCTTTGGTAGGTTTAACCTTTTTTATTGTTGCAAAATACACAGGAAAAAAAAAGAATGTCACATTGCTGAGCTGTGACATCGCTTGGCTTATTGCTAATACCCTGGCCCAGTGTATTAACATCAGCTGTCTCTTCCTTGCCTAATTAGAGTCTGATAAAACAGTGGTAACACACGCATCACTGTAATGATTTAGTTAGCGAGATTACTCTTCTTGACAATGAGGTTGGCCAGCGGTGACCTCAGAGCTGAGAAGGCTGTTTTTCACCCTGGATTCTAACGGGAAGAGCACAATGCCACAGGTGTTAGTATGAAATCAATAAACAGGCAGGTGGCAGCCTCAGGTCACCAAGGTCAGATAGCAGGCACTTGGGATTATACACTGGTAAGGGTCTGTGTTCATTTTTATGGAAATTGGAATCTGTTACAGACATTGTTCCATATTTGCACAGTATAACACAAAAGCACCTACATCTTCTATTTTGGACAATTCTAAGACCGCAACTGTTTTTGTTTCACATCACAGGATTAATCCCAAATTGTCATTTTTTATTTTGATCTTGCTTTGAGCTCTCTTTCAGGGACCTTAAGCAATGCTGTCAGAGACAGCTGTCAAGGTCCGAGAGCTGGGGTTGTTATTTTATGGAAAAGACACAGACAGATCACTTCAAGCGGTTTGTTTGTAAAGATGTCGACGAAACTAGTAGAGGACAAAGAAACCATTTTGTTTTGTCAGGTGACCAAAACTAGTACAGTAGTACAGTGCTGGCACAGAACTCTTGAACTGCTAGAAAGTAAAATATTCTGTTGTATGAAGTTTTATGAATACATATGTATGCTACAGTACGACTACCTAAAATTGATTAATGGCCCCTGCTTGTCTTTTCTCCTGGTATAACATCTCTGACTAAAACAAAATCAGCTTTTAAACTTCAGAACACATTAATCAGAATGTTCAAAAGCCTGAACACAGCAAGTTAAAGTAAAGTATACATGAATGCCAATGAGATGTGTTGTAGTAGCAAAACTGTCTGGTTTTACTAATCAAATCTTATGGATTCATTTTCAGGTGTTCCTCATCAATAACATATTTTTCCCCCCTACACATCCATAAAGCTGAAAGACTACCTTTTGTACTACAAAATGCAGAAAAATCTATCAGGATCAACTGCCATCTTTAAAAAATTGCAATTATTAAATGAACAAATGGTAAATGAAAACTTTCAGAGGAACACTGCAGAATTGCGTTCCTGCATAAGAAGGAAAAACACTGAGCGAATTTTTTAAAGCAATGCAAAATGTGTAGGATTGTTGCCTAGCAGTGCATGTATTGTATATAGAAATACATGAATACCGATCAATCACTGTAAGAAAAAAGCCACTACTATTATTGTGTGGTTAGAACTTGGCTGGGAGGGGCTGGAAAACAGAATCAGCATGATCCTGAAAGTGCTGTAGTAGCCAAACCAACAGATGGCATTGTTCTGTCAGGACCCAGTAATTCCAAACCAAACCACTGCCCCAGTGTGGAGATTTGGGGCGCTGTTCTGCTTGAGGAATAAAAACGTACTCCACTCCAAACTATTAAACGTTATTAAATATTTCAAAAGAGCCAAGGCGTTAATCCCAGTGTCAAATCCCAGACAGATGAGAAAAACAGCCTAATGACCCAAAAAAAAAAACACACAGTTTGTTCGGGATTAAAGTTTGTTTTCAGTCTGTTGGCTGAGCTCCTGAACTGTGCCAACGTGTTCAGGGATCAGGGAATGTCAAAAGTGTAAGTTGATGTTGTTTTTAAGGTTCTAGTGATCATGAAGTCTAAAGAGCAAAACTAAATGGTGAAGTCTACTCAGCCGTGAGAATGTTTTCAGATACAGAGCTAAGAGATCTAGAAGCCTATTGTACACAGAAGGCAAACATGATACAGTACATAACAGGCAGCAGAAACATTTGGTATTTCAAAAGAAACCGCAAGATCATTTATTGAGATGTAAATCCAGGACCTTACCCAGATGTGAGAGTCCAAGTGAGATATTTGTTAAAAGCCAGAGAAATTGCAAGCACAGCTTTTTAAATTCATAAAAAAAACAATCACTTTAACATATTTGTAACTGGCACAATAACCTTGATTTTTTTTTCAATTACAAATATGCCAAAGTCGCAATTTATCTTCATGTAGTTCATAAAAACTTGCTGAGCTGCAATTTCTCTTTGATCACAGCTGAGACGCAGATGAGATGTTCATTTGCTCTATATGACATGTGCAGTTGCATCATGGGAGTATCCTGTTTGCCATGGACTGCAATTAGATATCAGTATTCGCCTTAGAAATGCGCTAATTTCTTTCAAATTAAGGGAAAACCAAAAACCCCATCATGTTGGAACGTAACCTGGGAATTGTGAAGCAATTCTGCAAAGTGGTTAAAATGTACGCAGACAAGTCTGGCAAATTGTTTCATACTGTCCTCGGGGTTTAATGGATCAAAACATGAACTGTTTCTAAAGTAGGAACCAAGGTTGACATTGAACTGAAAAGGGGCCGACTTTCGGTCCCACCGGCAATCCCACCAAGATGTGGGCTTGCTACACCTCTTCCCAGTCTGGAAAATCTTATTGATTGAAAGAAACAAACACAGCTGAGCACAAGGGCACACTACTGACTGAAATGTTGCTTGGGCTTGAAACGGTCTTAACTTTGCATCCGAGCATCAGAATCGATCAAGAATCTGACACAGCCGAGACAACAACAGACTGCTTTGATCCAAGACAAAATTATCCAAGTGGCGATCCAGCTGTCCCAGTTTCCTGACCTGTATCCGATTGTAAAGTTTTAGGTTATTGTGAAGAATTCCAATAACCTCAGGGTAGAGAAGGATTTCACAGAACATAGGCTGACACCTTTTACCAAGCTACACAGAAATGTTCACGTTGTAAAATTAGCCAAAAGAGAACACTCTAGGTGCTAACTTGGACAAAGAGTGAGTATTTTAAACATGTATGAATCGTTTTTTTTGCCATGTAATTTGTGTTAAAAAATATATTGATGATACTCTCTGTTGGCCTATTTTTGCTGTATTCTTTTTTATTTCTGTTCTAAATTGTTATTTTTACTTCTGTTGTACGGTCCTTATGTTGCCTAGTTTATGGAGCAGGATTGTCAAACTGCATGGCGTTTCATAGGACAGCATCCATCATTCCCTTCCGGGCTTGTCAGTTGTTCACATCATTTCTCTTTTATATCTCTCTGCATAAATACCCTTCTCTCCAGCTTTCCTTCTTCTCCTTCTTTGGCCTATATCTCTCTCATTCATTTTTTTTTTGCTAGTATCTGTTTTGCCCCTTTTTTCGAGTCGCGCTCACAATCTCGTCCTCCCTCACTCCTCTCCCTCCCTCAGGCCTGCCTATCAGCATTGTGGGGATTTATAACTGCATTAAACTACATGACAATCTGTCATGATAAATCATTTCCCTTTCTTTACATATCACAGACAATAAAAGCTTTGGGAGTGAGAGCCATTCATCATCATAAACACCCCAGACACCCGTGCCATCAATTTCACTCACTTTCTTAATTTAGTGGAGAGGAGCTTTTTAAGCAGGAACAAGCAGGTTGGAGGCTGGGGAAGATAATTACATCTCGGGTCAGAGGAAGGATTCCCGGCTGAGGTTGAGAACTCAATCTGGTAATACAAGAACAGTAACTACGATCCATGTCCACACAAACTACCAGGAGCATGAGGCTGGGCCAGGGAGCTTCCACAAGTAGTTCGATCACCCCAGTCGCAGGTTTTCTAAGTGTGAGAATGAGATTGGAGAAAGGCTTGGTGCCAGACTAGGACAATGCCATTGAAAGGGATAGAATGATGCCTTCAACACGCATTTGCAGTACTTTTAAGACAATAATCCAAGGAGATACAAACAAACCGTGGCCATTTTGCTGGTCAGGCTGCAGCAGCATAAGCTTAGCCGAGGGTCTCAACAAGCTTATAGAACCTGAAGGCTCCCAGGGAACTGGTTCCAACAACACGGCTTTGTGTTAAACCTAAACCTAAACATGTTTTCAAGCCTACAGTACATACTGTACACTTCCTCATAACTTCCTGTTGTCCCCTTGTCACTCTGAGCAGAAAGTAATCCTCTATGTTGGCTTTGGCAGAACATCAGGTCTTTTAATACTTGCATGAGGTCCTCTTGTAAGCTCCTCTGCTCAAAAAAGGAGAGATCCAGTTCTTTTTATAACAATAATAAAGGCAAGATCTGTCGTTCTATAAAATGATGTGGTTCAGTTATTACGAGTGGACACTACATCATTGATTTTCCTACTCATAGATATGATGTTTGTTTTACACTCCTTTGTTGGGGAAATTTTGTTGGTGTCTATGAATGACATCTCTTACAGTATGTCCATTTATAAACTTGGCAGAAAACCATCAGACCCCAGTTTAACCCTCTGGCATGGCCTTTTTTAGCAATCAGGGACTTTCAGACTCTTTCAGTCTCTTTCAGACTTTTAGCAATCAAGCACTCAAGGACTTTCAGACTCTTCTT